AGAAAGAGACAGACAGAGAGAGACAGAAAGAGACAAAGAGAGACAGAGACAGAGGGAGAGAGAGAGACACACAGAGAGAGAGACACACAGAGAGAGACAGAGACAGAGACACACACAGAGAGAGAGAGAGAGAGAGAGAGAGAGAGAGAGAGAGAGACTGTTGACGTTGGCCAGAGTGGAAGAACATCGCTTCACTTCTGAAGGCTGGTGTTGCCGTTGCCGGTGTCTTTCTCCATTGCGGCAGAATGATATTGTGCTGTAGGGTGACTTTGTGTATGGCGAGGTGTCTGAAAACGTCGTACCGGCGTCAGCATGGGTAGAGAAGCAGGTTGATGATTGCAGAGATGGTGAGAAGAGAAAGAAGTTCCCGGACGTAGAAGGGGGAAGGCAAGACAAGTTGTAACAGTCAACTACTATTTGAGGTTCTCCTCCTTTGTCTTGTTATTGGTGTACTTTGATATCTCTTTGCGACTGTCATTCATTGAGCATTGTAAGTTTCAGGCATGATGTGGATGCTGTAAGCTTATCAAATTTGGTCGATGACATTGTTTTACCTGAGAATTTGTGATAAGAAGATGTGACTGTGCGATCCCCAAACCCCCCTAAAGCCCCTTGCCTCAAGTTCAGCAGCAATACACCATGTGAGTATATACTATATACTATATACCCTCTGCCCCTTCCAGTATTTCTATAAAGTCATTCACAGATTTTCTGATGGAACTTTTTGGAATCCATGCCCTTTGTCTCAGCAGCAATACAGCATGTGAAAAGCCTGGTATCTCTGCAACACAAGAATATGTTGATTTAGGGAAGGACATACCATTACCAGAGGGATTGGACTTGACGCAGGCCCCGCCACTGGCAACTTGTAGAACCCAGCCAATTAACAGTGAGCAAATTCAGCCCATATCCAAGAGGGTTGATGAGGGGTTCGAGTGCCGGGAATATATCTCTGTGAAGCAGGAATGTGTTGACTTAGGGGATGGCGCTCCATTGTCAGAGCGATTGGAATCGAAGCCAGACCTTCCCCTGTCAACCTCTAGAACACAGCCAATTGACGGTCAGCAAATTCAGCCCATCTTCAAGGGAGTTGGTGAGGGGTTTGGACACAGGGCATCTGGCTCTGGACAATTGGAAGAGGGCAATGGAGGCCTGGGATGGCGCGCAGCGAGTGCGAGGTCAGGTTGGCATAGTTGCCAAGTGAACCCTGAAGAACCTGCCCACACAGGGTTGGCAGAGAGGGATCTCTCTGGTCAGACTGGTACAGCAGTGAAATATCCAGAATCGACTGGACAGAGGTCAATGAGGGATGTGTCATTTGAGGACTGGACCGGACAAAGGTCAGTGGTGGATGTCTCATTTCAGGACAGTCAGACTGGCTCTGGCAGTGGACAAGACCATAGGGATACTAAAAGATCCCAGCTTGGGGCACCTCAGGGTGCTGAAGAGGGTGTGTGCAAGTCAGAGGTCACGGACACTGGTCAGTGTCTGATTGAAACCGCAGACTCCAATAAGCCTGGGCTTCACCGCAGAGTTCCCTTTAAGATGGATGTCGAAGGAGGTGTACATGGGTGCCTGAGGAACGATGATTGCTCCGTGGGCAACTCTCCTGCAAAAATGTGTTCTGTAACTTCTGATCACAAAAGCGCTTGTCTTGACAACTTCGGTATTTGTGGACCCCCCCCAGGAGCTCATGGGGTTATTCTCACAGGTCAGTCTGCAGCTCCTGCTGGCAGTATACAGCACACCCAGTCACAGCTGGAGGGTTCAGGATTGACAATGGAAGATCTGGTAGCTGCGTGTCAAGAGGACGACATATGGCAGCTTGTGGCAACCCCTTTCAGCAGGAGGCTGTCCGGAAGAGTCAGATATGAGGGTGGAAGAAATCCAGCTTTTGAATCGACTCCTGCAGCAGAGAACTTCCAGTGTCCATTGCAGCCCGCTGCGCAGCAACAACAGCACGTAGTTGCAGGGCTTTTAGACGGGCAGACAAATGGATCGATCAGGGTTGTAGATGAGCAGGACACCAGAAATGCAGTGTCTTCAAGAATGACTGGCCAACAACAACCAGGAGCGGCTAGCAGCCTTTCTGAGGGCCCAACAAATGGTTCAAACAGAGTGATGAATGAGGAACCAAGCGTATCAACAAGCCGAGGAAAGGGCTTGACAGCTAGTGATACGAAGACAGAGAATCCTGTACGAGGTCAAGCTGTCGGAACAAGTTTTGCAGTGGAGAGCTTTCAATTTCCATCAAGGTTGACTGTGCGGCAACAACCAGGAGGACTTAATGACCTTCCGGAGGCGGCGGTGAATGGTTTGAGCAGGATGCTGGATGAGGTAGCCAGTGTACAAAACAGAAGTAAAAAGAGCAAGGCGTTTAGTGATGAAAAAGATCCTGCGTTGAAGAAGAAGACAAAGGATTGTCTAGGCGGTCAACCTATTGAAACACCTGGCGTGATGGAGAGCTTTCCGTCGATGCGACAACAACAAGGCAGTTCAGTTCCGGAGCTTCCTCAGCAGTCAGGAAATGGTTGCACCCGGGTAGTGGATGAGATAGCGACAACATCCGTGGCAAGAAGAAAGGCATTGACATTTCTAGACGAAAAAGAAACTGGGTGGGAGAAGAAGGGTCAGGATCGTCTAGTAGATCAGTCGAGTTGCATGCAAGCTCCTCATGGACTCACAGGTGACAATAGCAACGCACCTGGCAGGCACCCTGCCTTCTCGGATTCCCGACGATTGCCAGGTCAGGTGCTTGGAAAATTCCCATCCAGTCCAGAACTTGCCTCCAAAAACTCCAGTGACTTAACGAATGGCTACGTGACGTACGTTGTTAAATCCAGCGAACGGGATTCTCTTGCAGAGTCACATGCGACGGAGGGTTGTGGTGTTCTGGGTCAGCAGGATGTGTGCATAGGAGATGATGCCGCTCATCTGAATGTCATGGATGCATTCTCTGGTGATCACATGGCATCTCCACGACTTCCTTCGTCATCGTCAGCTTGCCCGATGGAGACACCTCGAGGTAGTGCATCTGTATCATCAGTTGAGCCGATTGGGAAACTATACTGTAACCTGTGCAGGGAATGCATCACAACAAGTGAAGCTGGCAGAGACACAGGCGCATGGGTCTTCGAAAGGATGACCTTGGTTAAGAAACGTTATCTCTCAGAGCTGTTGTGCCAAAACTCCCAGGATCATAATGTTCAGGATGCTTCCAAAAGGCTTGGCAGGGCTGTTGCAGTCATTCCTCTTGGTGAAAAAGAGCTAGCGCAGGATTTGCAGGCACTTCACTATGGGCAAGAGGATGATTGTGGCAATGATGATCTTGCGACTGATAAAAGTGTTGAAAGTTGTGAAAACAGTGACCACGAAAGGGGGAACAGCGGCCCCTTGGCTAATGGATGTCGTGAAAATGCGAGGGATGGCGTGGTGGAAGCAGCAGACATTGCTGAAGATTGGTGTGTTGTTGGCAGCAGAACTGCAAGAAGTGTCAGCCAGAGAGCGCAGCCTCTTGAGGGTAAGCCAAGAAGATGGAAAGTCAAGCGGAAACGCAGGGTGCATATTGAAGCCCAGGTGAACGCAGGAACTCCCAAGAAGCGAGCAGTGCCAGAAGGGGGTGGACACGAGGAAATACCAACGGTATGGATGGAAGAAGATGGTTGCGTGTTCAAGCCAATAGCTTGTCTGGGCTGTCCTGAAGGTTCCCAATGGCTCGGAGTAAAAGTTTTGGCAACAGATTTGGAAAACTCCAACCTCAATGGCCTTGTAAGCTCTTCTATCCCTTATTCACCGCACTGGCCACTTCCTTCCACCCTCCTCTGTACTACCACTGTGAACAGGTGAAGCATAAGGTTTCGCTACAGGCTCCTTTTCTCTTTTTCAATGCTAAAAGGCGTTGCCCCATAACATTATTGTATGAATTTGTATCCATCTGATTCGCCAAGATTTGAACTCAGTGTCCATCTGATTCGCCAAGATTTGAACTCAGTGTCTGTTACATACTTCAACGAGTATGGGCAGAACCAAAGATCAACCAATATAGGATGAGCATTTATGCAGCGGAAGTCTGATAACGAACTGACTCACATAGACCGACTCACACCAACTGACTTACATGGCATCACTCCACACACATACAATCATGAGATGGTGGGGTCTGGGTCATTCATAGACGATACCCAGATCCCGTACACACATACACAGATGAAAGGTGGGAGGAGAGACGAAGGAGGTGGGAGGTAGATCACACCGATAGGTCACAAAGATAGAGTCTGATAGGTCTCCGAAATGGTAGTCCAGAATGTCATATAACAAGATCAAAATGTCGAGGACCAAAGGTCACCAATGTCGGAGATAACAGAGTCCAGATGTATCCGGTGTCCAACTGTGATGCAGCCGAGTATCAACCTCAACAATCTCCAAGTCTCCAATCAGGTAAGTACCACAGTCTCGTATCACCGAAATCCAACTCTGATCTCTGTCCAACTGGATAGTCTCCAATCAGGTAAGTACCACAGTCTCGTATCACCGAAATCCAACTCTGATCTCTGTCCAACTGGATAGTCTCCAATCTGAAGAAGAAGAAGAAGAAGAAGAAGAAGAAGAAGAAGGAGGAAGAGGAGAGAGAGAGAGAGGGGACTGGCGAGGGAGAGGAGGAGAGACCCTCCAAGCTCCCGATACCTCACGCGGTAATAACCGCCGTGCAAGCTCAGTCGCCCGCTGCTGCTCCGCTCGCTGCTGCGCTATGCTGCGCTCCTGCTTCAGCCCCTGGGCTAAGTTTAGCGCATCAAACAGTGCACTAGCACTGACCATGCGGTGCCGGTAGAGTTCCGGTAGGCCGATCCCACTACTGAGGCAGATACCGGTACTTATACCGGTGGGCGATGGTCTGGCCTCAATGCTGCGCGGCCAGGCCAGACCCTGAACCGTCCAGATGGACGGTTCAGCCTCAATCGGCGGGCGGCAGCTTCAAGAGCGCCGCCAGGCCCAAACGAAGTGTCGTTTGGGCCTACCCGATGGGTGATAGTCCAAAATCAGGCCTTTAGGGCCTGTAAACCCCAAAGGTCGGGCCTTTAGGCCCTGGTGTGTCCCTCCGGCCCTAAGTCGGGTCCGGTAGGACCCGTGTGAGTCGAAGATGTAACAGTGTGTGTCTTCTATCCACCAACATCTGCATCTGTGTACCATTCAGCCAGCACTGCTTGCTTGTTTTTTTTTTTTTTTTCAAACCACCGCTACCTTCCTTAGTATCTGCAGTCTTCGGAGGTCTCACGGAGACTCTGCAGAAAGAAAATGTTTGGGCCCTATGGGCCCGTTTGTCATTGAAAAGAACAAAGACAAAGAACGAGCCCATACTCAAGTCAGTACTTCCGACAACGTATCTAACAACTGTACAGGCTTGTTTCGAATGTTGTTGTTACTTTTTTCTCCTTCTTGTGATTTGTTTACAGTCCCCGCCCAGCGAGGCAGGGCGCATTCCACAGACTGCTGAAACTTAGGGTGTCACCACACCACTATCGAAATGTGAAAAAGACAAAAATGTGGCAGGAGCATCTGGCCATTGTTCTAGCAGGAAGCTCATTCTCATTTTCCACATTTCGAGAGTGGTGCGGCGATGCCCTTACTGACGGAGGGCATACTTACACTGCCAATGTTTTGAATGTTTCCACCCGCTTCCCGTCCAAAGCTTAGTTTCACTTTTTCTTTGTTTTCTTCCTTCGTGAGATTGACTGCGCCGCTGTAACGCCCTCACTGAGGCACACAAGTACTTCACAGATTGTATCCAACTGCTATCATGTCCAAAGGCTTGTTTCTTTTTTTTTTGTCCTTGTTCTTTTTTGAATGCAACTGCCGTGAATTTTTTTTTGTGAGTACTTCGCAGATGGTATCCGACTGCTATCACGTCCAAAGGCTTGTTTGAAGTTGTTTCTTTTTTCTTTTTTTTTGGTCCTTTATATTCTCTTAAACCTCTTTTGAATGCAACTGCCGTTATTATTATTTTTTTTGTAGGAGACCCAGACTCGGCAATACTCAGCACGCAGTGAAATTCAGGTTCTGCAAAAACAGGCTCGGAGGAAGTGTTTTTTTAATAAAGGAAAACATCCTTTTTATTAATACCGCTGGAAACCAGGTCAAACATTCCTTACAACAGAAACACACTAAAATAGTAAAACGTCTCCCTTCGTACCTGAGACGGCAGCATTGATTGCTCCTTTGCACACGAAGGATGTACTCCTGTGGCGAGTCCTGCCCCACCCCTGTATAACCTGTAGTTCCTGGATCCCCATCTCTGGGGCTGGGAGTAAAATTTTATACACTGTTCTACTTCTTTGCCTGGAATTGGGTAGTCAATGAGGCTTGTCTTTCTCAGGCCCGCTCTGCAGGTTGCCAGAACCCCAGGTAGAACTCATCTTGTCTCAGCTGAGTCTCCGCTTGTCCCCGTCATATGGTCTGTGGACACTGAGGTGGCGACATAGGATGACCCTTCCGTACCAGGTGTCCCGCTCTGTCCTAGCCTCTGGATCCCGAAAGACATTAAGTCATGAACTGCAGACTCCCCGTCCCTTTCAAGATATCTCCTCCTCTGTGTTCCCTATCTCTCCCTGCTAAAACCTTTTCCATTTGGTTCCATAGGACCTTTGCCCCTTGTCCATTATGTTGGGTCCCATTTTTTTCCAACGCAGCCTGTTGTCTACCACTGTTGCCACCTGCCCATCTAGTAACCATTCTCTGATGAAGGCCCTTTTTCTGAAGTCCGTCCTTATCGAATGCCGAGATCCTGTGTTCTTGGTCTTCAGCCGTTTGCATCTGATCCCCGAATCCAGCATCTGAATGAGGGAGACCCATGCCTGTTCCTTGTCAACTTCAGCCTTGTCGATGGTCGCAGGGGATGTTTGCTTCCATATGGTCTAGAACGAGTCTTTCTCAGCATCAGAGCCCAGGTCCTTGGGGAATATTTCAGGGGGGGGGTTGGATGGGAAGGAGGATGGGGCGCAGAGATGATGGGGGAGGGCTCTGGCTCCATATCCATTCTGGAGAGCGTCTGTCCCCATTATGGTTGAGAGATCCAAGTGGGCGGCGTTGATTCTGTCATTTCAGAAGGATGAACCTCCCCTCACCCCTGCCTAAGCCAGCCTTAACAGTTACCTTCTACATCTGCTAATCAGTTCATTTTGGTTACCCTCTGCCATGTCTCTGTGATTGCTTTTCTAGTCCCCTCTAGTCTTCAACACTGTCTCCTGCAAAATCTTCCTTCAAAGGGATCCTATCCCTCCCCCTGTTCTCTTGGTGACCTTTGCCCTCCTACTCGGTATCCATGCACTGTTTGCTATCTTGTTCCCGCTCTGTTCTCTCTGCGTTCACCTCACACCAGTCCTTGAACTATAGTGTTTTACCAGGTAGTTGCGCGATTAAACCCCGTTTCAAGTTTCAACCAGATTTCCTCTAATTCCTTTTGAAGCTTGGCCTTTCTTTGGCTGCCCGGTTCTCTGTCTATCCTTGCTTGTGTACGTTTCTTATCTTTGTATCCAGAAGCTCCTTTGCTTCTTCCCATGATTCCTCCTCTGTAATTCTCTTTTTACCCACTGCTCCACTGCACCTGGCTCTCCAAATCACCCACAAGGTGGTTTCCTAAGTAGTTCTGTGATCACTTTATCTTCCTCCAAGATCAGGCCCTCTCTAGCTATCACCGCTAGGAGGTAGAATTGGTTAGTAGAGGACAAGTTATTCCATGCATTCCTGCACCGGACCCATAGATTAACACTGAGCTAAAGTTTCTACCTGTTTCTCTAGGCATATTTGGCATTGCAAGGATTCCTCCTTTCTGTCTTCCTCTCTGCGCCTTTTATCCAACCATGCACTGACTGGAACCACCGTGTACTTAATAGCCATTGCAAGCTTTGTACTCTTTGCGATCTAAAAGTTGACACATGGTAGGTCCATGGCAGTGTCTTTAGCCAGGAAAGGGTCTGCCTGAAGGTGCTTCTCCCATGATGATATTGTCTGTTGAGGGGTCTCGTCTTTGCACCTAGTCTTGTAGCCTGTTTTCACCCTATGCTTGTGCAACCCTGCCCATTTCTTGGCCTTGCCCCTCCCTCTGTCCTCGTACCATCCACATTCTGCCGGTTAGACTTTCAACTCCTTTATGTCCTTGTCTGGTCTGAACAGCCATATTGGCCCCTCTTCCGTTTGTCTCCTGCACCTTACCTGCCTTTGATCGTTGTTTGATTCTCAGACTTCCGTAAGGTCTTGTGTGTTGAAGTCCAGCCAAACTTGTGCTTCCCTTCTCACATCCACTATGGATGTGCCCATGTTTTTTTTTTCTAATTCATGAACCTCAAAGCACGCTGTGTTCTGGTCTATCCTCGACCGTCAAATGTATTTGAGTGTCACTGATGCAGTTACTTGATCCTTGAGCATCGCTTTCCTCTCTTCCAGGATATGGAACAGAGATCTCCATGCGTATCAGTATGCTTTCGATTAGTTGTTCCAGATTTCTCTGCGTGTTGTGGTGTCCTCTTAGCATCGATCTCAGATTTCTTTCTGTTTTGCAGCTTTGGTTCTGGTCATCCCACATTGAGCAGCATGCCGAGCTACCAGGATCAGAATGTTTCCTTCTCTCGTGTAACCATTGGTTGACTGGCAGGGCTGCATGTGCTATTAGCCATTGCATACTTCGGATTCTACTTGGTCTGATGAGAAGGTATTTGGTCCATGTGATGGTGATGGGGGTCGTGGTATCTAGGTTCAGTATGGTTCTCCATTTCTCTGCCAGCCTTGAATTCGGGTCCCTGGTTTGTAGTCCGAGATTATACCCGAACTTTACGTTATATTCTGTTATCCTTCTCGATTTACTGGCGGCGCCCAGATCCCAGATCCATTCCTTTGGGTCGGAGCTGGAATATAAACCAGGGTGTCTTGTGAGAGACTCTAACCTTCCTGAGAAGGTATGTTTCTATTTGTTCGTTCTGTGGTGTTTTGTTTAGGATCTCTAGTTCATATAGGCCGTGTTTGATGATGGGGTAGGATACGAACTTGGCCCGGTAGTTGATTAAGTCCGGTTTTGACACAAAACGGTAGGCTTTCGTTGGTGGGGTCTGTGTGATGAGCAGTCCCCAGTCTCCTGGTTTCCACATATGTGTCTCTTTTAGGAGGGTCGTCCTTGGGGGGCAATGCTTTGGAGGATTTCGGACAGGTTGGTGGTCAGTAGATGGCAGCCTTTTAAGGGAGTGCGGAGGTCCTGCGCGGTGAGCCATTCTTGTCAGTCTTCGGACCACAGATGTTTGACCTGCCATACTCTCTCCACCCATGACAGCCATCTGCGGTCTTTAGCCTGGAGAGTCCACGGTCTGCCCTCTGTGTCTTTGATCCAGGGATTGCAGAACAGGGGTTGTCGTAGGACTTCCTCTTTGTTGCTCGGGAACCCTTTCTGGTCTGGCATCAGTCGGCGCGAGGTCTTTAGGATCGGAGACTAGTAGGAGGTGGGTGTGGTGGGGGATTGAGTCGGAGTCACTGGGTTTGCTTTCCTTGCTGGTCTCCCCGATATGATTGTCGACTCCTTTGCCATGATCCAGAACAGGCCACTCATGTTTGGTGGGGTCGCTACTGGTGCCAGATTTCTTATGCTGTCTCTCGCCATCGTGGTCCACGGGAGGGCTTGTTTGGTTAGGATTTTGATTATCCATTTCATTTGGAGGGCGTTTACTTCTTGTTTAGTGGTTTCCCGATGACCTTTTGCCAGGCCACCTTGTTTATACAGGTGGTTCTGTTGGGGTTGCCAGTCCAGAGATAACACCTGGCTCTAGCCTTCAACTTCTTCAGGTCGTCGTCGAGGGGGCACCATATGGAGGCCATGTACCACAAGGTGGAGAATACTGCTGTGTTGATGATCAGGGCTCTCCCTAGTAGGGAGGCCTGGGCTTTGTTGCAGGTGGCTAAATGGGTTATTGCTCTGGCGAGTAGAGACTCCCCCATCTGACACATCTGGAAACAGATTTCTCTGATCCAACATGCTGTGTATGCTACCAGAAAATACCAGTGTTATAGGAAAATTGCACATATACTATGTAGTATGTAGTATGTACCATGGTAACCGCGGACCCGGACACCGGACACTTCTGGACTGTCTTCCGGACCAGTGTCTGGACTGGTGATCCGGACATCACCGGACACTGGACATCACCGGACACCGGACAGTCCGGACCGGTCCCCGGGGTGCAAAAATGTCCGGACCGGGGTGGGGTGGGGGGGTTGGGTGGGGGTGTTGACAGGCACTTACCTGCTTTGCACTCTGTAGTTCAGGCCGCAGAGCACGTGTCTTGCAGCAAGTCAACCAGCACATGTCACCAGCAGACATGCAGAGTTGCAAACAGTGCAAAGCAGGCACAAGACTAAAGAAACAGATAATTAAAAAAAAAAAAAAAGTATGATTAACTTTGAACTTTGAACTTTGGATTTAGTAATTTAAGTTCATAACTTCATATATAACTTGATTAACTTTGAACTTTGAACTTTGGATTTAGTAATTTAAGTTCATAACTTCATATATAACTTGAAAGTTCGAGCTTTGCAGTTCAATTCAGAACCTCAGAGTCTTCAGACTGGCAGCACTGTCAGTGCTCTCTCTCTCTCTCTCTCTCTCTCTCTCTCTCTCTCTCTCTCTCTCTCTCTCTCTCTC